CACGTAAGTACGTTTTCATTTAAAGGATTTGCCACTGATGATTCAAACGCGAGTTTTGGGCAGTGTAGAGTAGCACTTGTTGTTTTGTCATTTCTCTGATCACAAATGCAGACAGGGTTTTATGTTTACGCGGCTCGTAAAAAGACAGTATAAGTCATTATAATCAGTAATTATGTCCCCACTGGATGCAACAAATGCCTCGTTTGTAATGGGTTTTAATGTTTTTGTCTAGTCGCTCCGGCCGGGACACGGCATCAACACAGTATGGTGAGGGGCGTAACATTTCCGTCTCACGCTTGAGGTATTCGGCCAATCACAATACACTGGATAGCTGGCCAATCACAGCACACCTTGCTTTTTCAGACCGATGAGCTTTGTAAAAATCGACGCGTTTCAAAGACGTTTCTGCATGCGTTTGTTGTGATCAGAACAATTTTAAAGTCTGCTAGTGTATGATGCCTATCGTTTTAAAATCTGTTCAGATTTTAAGTCGTGTAGTGTATTCCAGCCTTAACTTGTTGACCCACGGAACCCTGTATATATATAAAGTTTTGCACCGATTGAGCTTGAATGGCACACAGTGTAAGAAGTAATGTAGTGCTCGACAACTTAAATAATTTTAAGCCTGAAAATATACTTTCCTTGTCCGAGTTCCGCTCCAGCTCGCTGACAGTCCGTGACGGAATTTTCTTCACCAGAACTGTCCGCGTGCAGCCCGATTGATTTGAGAGCTCGGAAACGAAGGTCCACTAGGTAGTGCGCACGCGAGCGCTGTCAATTGAGTGTATTTTGAATGGTTTGCGCGTTCAACTGCGCGCTAGACTGAGCGGAACGCGGAAAATGAAGTATACCTGGGTCTTTAACATTCTTAATCCTTTTACTCTCACTTCCAATAAGCACTGTATTCTGACTTTCTCTATCACCTAGCTAACACTGTTTATTTAGTGGTTTCTCAGGAAGAAACGTGAACATACAAACAGCAGTCTCAGAGAGGAAGATGGACAGGAGTGTTCAATATGAGATTCATGCTTAAGAGCCATACAGGGCTGCAAATATATACAGTTTATACATGTACATACGAAAAGAATGATATTAACCAATAGCAATAGCAGAACTTAACAGTGTACACAAAAAATATAACTACAAGCAAATAAATGTATCCGTTCTTCATGTGATAATGTACTCTGTGTGTGTAAGTCTACAGATCACAACTGGTCTTTACCAGCTACAGCGTGAACAATAGCAGACTAGTTGTTGGTGGTTCCACGGCAACATTTGAACAAAAAATGCACACAAATTGTTCTGAGACTTCGGGAACTGGATAGGTTGACTACATTAAGAAACAATGGTAGATATAAAACAAAATATTTTTTTTGGCTGATGTTTTAAAGGTAATTATCTTGCCCCTCTGTTTCAGTAAACAGGGCTGTTCCTGATGCCGCAGCAAAGCACCATGCTGAAGATCATCTCGAAGATCTAGAAAGAAAGAAAAAAAAAAAAGGGTAAAATGTGATGCAAGCAACATCAGAGGCTAATAGAATATAACTTACAGTAACACACAGGCCCCTATACAAACACTCAGACTCACCATGATGATAGCAACAACCAAGGCAGCAATGCCAATCAAATAGATCTTCTCAGAGAAAAGCTCTTTGATCTTGGAGTGACAGCTCTGAAAAATGGAGAAACAGGTTATTGTCATGCTATGTGGGATGATTTGGATGAGAATTCTTCAATATGAGGGTTTACTGAGGGGAGACTTATTACTTCAGGAATTGTCATGTCTTTAGGACAGATGTCTGAGATCCACATTTCAGTAACTGAAAAAATGCCTCCTTTGCCACAGCAGTGAAGCTGAAACCAGAGATGACAGTGATTAGAAATATGTCTTTACAACATCTGGACTATTATTTGGTTTGAGAGGAGTTTGTGTTAGCTTGATTAATGTTGTGCTCCTCAGAATGTGAGGACTACTTACAGTCTCATGAAAGACCTTCAAGACAGTAGCGGCAGCCTGCTGTTGCTCACCGTTTGTAATTGAAACGCCTTTGTCATACACAGAGTCATAGAAAGTGATCAGATCTTTGGAGATCTGAAAAAATCAAGAATAATTACAAATATGTAAACAGATGTTTATGTGTCAGCTTGACAATGTGTATGCATGTGCGTCAGAGAAACTGACCTTGTCTTTGTGCATGAATCCCCAGATTCCAGCAGCAACCTCACAGGCAAACAGAATGACCAGGCAGGCAAAGAACTGTGGGGGAGAAAGAAAAGGGATGTGTACTGTATATGGTCACAAGTTTGTCACTGAATTTGTAATTAACAATAATGTGGATTAAGTTTCTGTGTGACTGAAATAAAAATTCACTAAAATATTCACCGGTAAGTAGGAATTGCCAATGTCAATAACAGTGACAAAAGCAATAAATAAGCTCAAGAAACATTTCTTAATATTTAAATGCTTAAAAATGGTTGTGTTTAATATTTTGGTGGAAACTGTAATTTCTTTTAAAAAAATCTTACCTCAAACCTTTGAACTGTAGTGTAAAAATAATGACATAAAATCAAGTCATGGCACCTTAACAAGTTCAGTGAATACCTAAAATAATTCAATGAAAGCAACCAAAAAAGCCATATAAACTGTTTGAACCGTTTTTTTATTTTTTACAGTGGGGTTTTACAGTCAGTCCATTAAAATATACTTCCGGTTATTGTTTGGCATCATGTGAGTTGAGGAATTTGCTGAGAGGCCAGGATTTGTTACTCACTGTTCCGAGAAGACACTGGGATTCCTGTATGGCTCCATAGCAACCAAGGAATCCAACAAACATCATCACAGCACCAACAGCAATCAAGATGTAGACACCTACAAGAAAGAAAGCATGATGTGTGTTATCATAAAGGAGAATCCAAGATCCCTAAACAAAACTAGGATCAAAGAGTGAGCTATAAAGAGGTGCTTAATTACACTGAACAACCAAACTATATTCGACGAGTCATCCAGTCTAAATGCTTTTTAAATATACAGAGGGCGCAGTACTTATCGTGACCAGCAGCAGGCACAATGTGCTCACTTTAATGGGGTGGTAAGTTTACTTTAAATTGAAGGAAAACTGGAGAACATTTGGAAGTCATCCTAACTTTTTGTTTCCATTCCCTCATTCACATAAAAAAAACATCAAGTCAACAGCAAATCAGGAATCTTATGTAACATGACGTGCACTGGTAGAAGGAAAAAAAGAGAATTAAAAAAAAAACTTAAATACTAATACTAAGTTAAATACTCCACAGTTTTTTCTTAGAGAAAGAAAGAAAAAGAAAGAAGGAAAGAAAACTCCCTCTTTTCCCAGTGTTTACATCACACAGGCTGAATGATAACTGCTGTAACAATAGCAAACCCAGTAGGCCTTAGGGTGCAGCAGCAGTGTTTGTGTGGATGTTCAAATGGCAGCGAACAGAGAGTGAGAAAAAGAGCAGAAACTCACTCTCTTAAGAAACAATCAGCCATACACACACTGAAATCGCTGTGACTCAGCACGCAGAATGAGTGAGCATGAATTATCCTGCAACTGTATCTTTCACTGTGGCAACACGTTCACTCTTGCGTGTTAGCTTCTGTATATTATTTTTTATCATTTTTTTGCCCATTGTTATTTAAATGTTTTGTTTTGTTTATTAACACCATTAGCTACATTATTTATCCTCACCAGAAAAATATTAAAAAAACAAAACAATAATCCAATGTTGTGAACTGTTCTGAAAGCTGGTTTAATCAATTCACTGATTCTCTTGTCAGTCACTCCATGCAGAGCAGATACTGGACATACAGCAAACATGTTTTTACCTCTACAGAGCCTGTTGAGTTTCCCTATCCAAAATCAAACCATCTACAAGTTTAACAGTACATAATTACTACTGCATTGTTAATGTCTGCATGCTCATGATATTGTACTTATATTGTAGGCACACTACAAAGAACTGTTCAGCATCACTGGTTTAAAATCACTTTAATTCCTTGCTCTGGGAGTCTTCGTTTCTCCATCTCTTCTTCAAATTCAGTTGATCTTGTCCTTCCAGCCCCCTCTATCATACTCTGGCCTTCACAAAGACACACCCAGGGCACTTCTAACTCTAATGCTGCTGGTAACACAATCTCATTCTCCAGAGCATAATTAAATTTTGTTTTTAAAACATCTAAATGTCCTGCTGTCATTTACTGACTGTGCCCATTCCCTTGCAAGAGAATTAAAAAAAAAATCAATGCAGCGTGGGGTGGTGTGGGAGGGGACTGACCGAGTCCTGATTCCATTTACTTAATTGCGATGGGTAAGGGGCTAAAGGAACTGCCACCAGGCCATTTTTCAGTGTGACAGGCCTGAATGGAGTGCTACGATGTGACTAGCATACTGAACAGCTACATAATACACACCAACTCTCACTTCTTCTATCACACTTTCACTTTTTCTTTAAACAAACCACTTTCTTTTTGCTTCTACTATTGACTAGCTGAGAAGAGTGTAACAAGTTAGAGACAAGTTTCATGTAGTCTAAAAATAACTCATGTGAATAAGCAGAATATTGTAAGGATATTTCTAGGCCAGGTGCTTCCTGTAAGGAATGAGAGTCTTATGACACAATACACTGAAGATACCCCTATCTCTCTTTACTGGCCCCCTGGATCGAGGAACTGACTCCACTGTCTGCATCTCTGTCTGAGTGCAAGCGAGTCTCGGAAAGAGTATTTGAATTAATGTGTGAGTGCAAAGAAAGTTGCCACATGCAGCTGCTATTTCCGTTAATTCGAAGAGCAGACATCTGGGTCTTGGCCAGTGAAAAAGGGAGTGAGAGAGAGAAAGAGAAAGCTGGGCATGTCACATGAGGAAATGAGCAATGGAAAAAAAAGACATTAGCAAAAAAAAAAACAGGAAAGTATGATGGAGAACAACGGGAAAAGGAGGACTGTGAACAAAAGAGTACGAGAAGAATGAGACAAAGGTGGTAAGAAAAGGAAGTGAAGGAGTGGACGGGGTAAAAGTGCGGACCTCGTTCAGCACATTTTCAGGGGAAAAATCCAGTCATTTCAATGGGAATATACACAATCAGGAATTTCAACCAAAACTGGAAAATTTCCAAAAGCAAATTTCACAATGGGTTTAAGTTGGTCACATGGAGTCGTCACGTTGACTAATAGAAAGCTGCTTGGTTTCAAAGTGACTTCTGTGTGAGCTGTGCTTCATATATCACAGTACTATTGACAACAGACAGTTGAACTTTTTTGCCTGCAAAATTTGCCGAAATCCACACCATAAGAAATTTCGGATGAGAGTGCAAAATTTCCCAAAGAGTTTATACTGTTCACGCGGATCGAACCATCAGAAAGCTGCTTGGTTTGAAATTAATTTCTGTGTTAGCTATGCACTACACATCGCCACACTATTGACAACTGAAATTTTGCTAAAGTGACCACACCTTAAGAGTGAAAAAGGAATAGGAAAGTCAGGGCACATGCTGCAAACTTTAAGCACAAACAGATGATGCCAGAGTTCAGAGTTGAACCACAATGGAAGTAATGGTGAGAGGAAAAGCTGCAGTGAGAGAGAGAGCGAGAGAGAGAAAGGGAGGAGAGGGAGAGAGAAAGGGAGGAGAGGGAGGGAGGGTGGGTGGCATGTTCTCAGACAGCAGGCGGAGCTGTAGTTGGAGGAGGGGTGCTGGGATGTGTGAGCAGATTTTTCCTCTAGTTTTTTTTTTCTTCTCTAGAGACTGTTAACTTATGTCCTTTGAACACACAGCAACATCTTTGCTTTTGAAGGTCCAAACATGTACATTTGATTTGCTCTACTCAATAAAGTAACATGGTAACCTGCAACTGTTACTGATTTAGTTGGTGTGACCGAATGTGTTCAGGTTGATCAAGTGATGTAATAATAATAATAATAATTCAATAATATTTTTTAACTTGAATAAAATAAAAAATGTAGATGTTGCCACATGAAGTATATTTTTAGGATAACATTTGTATTTTCAGTGTACACACACCAACCTCTTTCTCTACTTTTGTGTTAAAATGCTTAAATATCAATCATGAATTGTGATATTTATCAAACTAGCCTACAAGAGCTATTTTTGTATAAGAAAAAAACATTTATTTAATACTACAGAATCAACCTATAGGCTACACTAATAAATGTGATTTTAAGGGTCGGATTAAGTGGAAATAGCTCCTTAAGGAAACAACTGCATGTTAGCACTTGTTTAGATATAGGCCTGTGGCTAGTGTTATTCTGGAAGTACATTTGTTGATTCTCTAAGTATAATGACTTCCTTTTCCTGTTTTCCTCATTAATCTCACCTTTTTTTCTGATGATGCTGTCAGCTCCTTTTCCTCAGTCTCAATCATCACCATTCACTCAGTCTCAAAAAGATGTGATATAATCAGGACCTTTGTGTTCCCATTCTCACACACTCACCCTTCATCTTGGTTCCCAAATCTTTTTTTAAGACACTCATTTTCTGTATTTAATGGTACGATATCCAGAAACTATGACAGTAACTACTACAGGGCAAGGAGAGAGTTGGAAAACAGGCTTCATTAATACTCTCCTTTCACAAAAGAAAAAACGAACTTTGTTTTGACATGTCAGGAAGTAACAGCCCAAACTGGATTCTTAAGATATGCCATTCAAATTTGAAGAAACAAGACAAATCGAAGACAGAGAACATTGAGAAACACAAAAGGCCATGTCACAATACTTCAAGGTCACTTCCTAAGAAGGAAATGTGATGTTTGCTCAGCTTTGACCTTAAGAATACTGCAAAACAAGCCATTCTTATGGAAAAGCAAAACATTAGAACAATTAATACTAATTTTAAATCAATTTTTGGTCTGTAAGCCTGAAAAGAACTGAAGATAAGTACACAAATGCATGTCTGTAGCTGTCTGTTAAGCTAGAGCATACCAAAGAAAATTGCATTAGTTTTGCATTCCAAAGAAGGCTATACAACATACTCACTGCTTTTGGGAAAAAAAAAAGTATTATATGTTTCTTCCATTCATTCCAAAGATATACAGTGATTTTAAATATTTTGTATAAATACTGGAAAATAGGGATGTAACGATTCACTCAACTCACAATTCGATTCGATTCACGATTTTGATTTCACAATTCGATTTGATTCACGATTTATTTATTTTTTTTTACAAAATGAGATTTAAGACAAATTATAAATTAAATGTGTCCTTTTATTATTGCTTGGGACAAAATTATGCACGTTTCTTTGTGAAATTGAAATATAACACTATAATAATATACTACATCTCAACCGATTTGAATAGTCACATATTTTAATCTATTTTCAACTGGCTCGCGGTTAATCGTTACATCCCTACTGGAAAATATATAAATATTGATATATTTATAAATAAATTATATACCGCCCAAGCTGGTCCCAAGCCCAGTTAAAAAAGGAGGAGGGTTGGGCGTAGGGCTAGCAACCCTACCCCGTAAAACCACTATTGCTAAAGAAACAGCAAGCAAACCAAACAAAAATGATCAGCAAGATGAAGGTTTGCCCTACGTTATGACGGAGTCGGAGAAAAGTCGAAAGGAAGTCCGGGTCCCGATAAAGAACCAGATTCTAGCTGCTAAGAACTTAACTAACATTGGAACATGGAATGTGCAAACATTATCAGGCTGGAAAACTGCCACAGCTCACTCGGGAATTCAACAACTATAAGTTGCAAATTTTGGGCATCAGTGAGATGAGATGGACTGGAAGTGGGAAAATGGTCAGCGATGGAAAGACCATACTGTACTTTGGCCACGAGGAACGGCACGTGCACGGTGTTGGCATGATGCTTTGCATTCC